GCAGGGTAGCAGGAAGCTCTCCACACACTGACCGGACCTGGCCTAGGACTGGGTCTCTTCTCATTTATTTCTGAATGTTTTTGGACCCATCTAGAGTCATTTGCATTCTATTTCCCTCTCTCCTTCTTCTTCTCTCCCTCATTTCTTCTTTCCTTCCCTCCCTCTCTTGTCAGTCTCATGTGTGCTTTGCATCCACTCTACCATAGATCTAGATCTCCAGCCTTTTCTAAATTTCATTTTGAAACAGAATCTTGCCGGGTTGCCTAAGCTGGCTTCAAACTTGTGAGCCTCCTACCTTGTCTCTGGAGTAAGAGACTGCAGTGTGTGCCACCACATCTGGGTTGGAGTCCTTCTTCCAGTTGAAGAGCTTCTTACATTATTTCCCTTAATGGTGATGAATTCTCTCAGTTTTTGTGTAAATATAATTTTAATTTCACCACCTTTTTAAAATAATTTTTTTTGTGTGTAAGATTCTAAGTGGCTGGCCATTTTCCTTTAGCATTTGGATTGTCTTGGTACCAGAGATTGAACTCAGAACCTTGACACTTGCCATGCAAGCACTTATTCTACTGAGCTATCTCCCCGGCTCCTTTGGCATTTGGAAAATGATACTTTATTGCTTTCTAGGTCCTTTGTCTCCACTGAGAAGTCACCTGTCATTCCGATTGTCACTCCATTGAAGATGGTGTTTTTTCTGATTGTGTTGAAGCTCTATGTGTTATTTGGGAATTTTAACACTTTTACTGTGATGTTTCTGGATATTTTTATTTATACAACATCAGTTTCATCATGCTTCCTTGAGGTCTTTCTCTTCCTCCTCTTCATCTCTTCTACCTCCTCCTCTTCTAATTTGGAAAATCCTTGGTAGTTATCTCTCCAATTTTTTCTTCTCCATCATACTCTCTTTTCTTTCCTCCTAGGGCCTCCATATAATATATGTATTTATAGACCTTTTCATTGTGTTCATATATGAATACTTTCCATATTTTCTGTGAAAAAAATTTTTTTTTGCTTTACTAATCTTCAGCCATGTCTAGTTATCTATTAAGTCTATTTACTTAGGTCTCAATTTTAGTTATTGTATTGTTCATTTCTAGGATTTTTCTTTCTTTCTTTTTTTTTTTTTTTTTTTTTTTTAAGGAAGGGTCTACAGGATGTTCAGGGTCTCACTGCATAGACCAGACTCATAGTGATCTGCCTGTTTACAGCCTCCCAAGAGCTGGGATTATGGGCAGGTGCCACCACACCCAGTCTCAATGGCCATCTCAGCGTGCCCTGGTGATGGGTCAGGCACTGCAGGCCAAGGGATCGAACCCCGGCCCCTACACGGGCTTGCAGGTGCTTTAATCCCTTGAGCTATTTGGCTGGCCCTGGATTTTTCTTTTTTGGTCTTTTTGAAATAGGGTTTCACTTGCAGTGAAGGCTGGACTTGAACTCACTTCAAGTGAGGCCCAAGCTGGCCTCAGTCTCACAGTGATTCTTGCCTCAACCTCTTAAGTGCTGGGATTACAGGTGTGCACCACCATGCCCGGCTAGGATTTATATTTTATATTTAACATGTATAATTCTTTAAGTTTTCTGATTTTTAAATTAGTTGTTAAAACATAGTCATGTTATCTTAAGGTTCATATTTAAAAATTCCAACAACTCATAACCTCTGACAGCTGAAATCTCTATGCTGTTGGTGTGGGTATTCCTAACTACACTAATGTGAATCTTTACATTTCTTTTCTTGTCTCACATCTTTAGTTTAATGATGAGAAAAAACTGATGAACTTTCATCAAAACCTTCAGGATATCACAGAAGACCAGCTAAGTTTGGCCTCAATCCACTATATGCGGTCTCACTACCAAGAGGCAATTGATATATATAAGCGAATACTGCTGGATAACAGGTCTGTGCTTTTCTAATGCCTATTCCAAATCTCTTTCATGTTGTTAGTTTCTTTAGGACCCAGTATCCTTTGGGTTTCGTACCACCATGCATTCAAATCTACGTAGTAGATGATCTGGTGGAATTAGGAATCTGCTAGATATTATGTAGATCAGGCCTTCTCTGCCTTCTTGATTATCACCTTTCAAATGAGCTTTTTTAGTGTTTTTGTCTCTCAGTTGTCTGCCAATCTATCTGTAAATATATAGTAATACATCGTGTATGTCTATGCAGTATGTATAATGAGTATGATTTTCTGACCACCCCTTAGGAACCAACTTTTGCTCCACGGGGGGTAGTATGGCCACTGTAGAAAATGTGTGCTCTAGATATATCAGCCTCAGTGATAGAGTTACTTGTAGGTAACTTGCTGGCATACTTATAAAGAAAGCATTTTGAAGAATTAATACAGGGGGTCCAGCAAGGTAGCTCAGCGGTCTAAAGCACCTACTTAGGCAAGCTTAGGCAGGCACAGGGGATCATGGTTCAATCCCCAACACCACATGATGTGCCAGCCCCGCTCTTAGGGTAGGCTGAGCTGGCCAAAGGAAATTTAAAAAAACAAAAAAATTAACATAGGGCCAGTGAGATCACTCAGCGGTCTAAGATCCTGCTTAGGCAAGTTCAGGGACCAGGGTTCAATCCCTGGTATTGCATGTCCTGCCGGCCCTGCCCCTGGGCACGCTGAGCCAGTGACCAAGTCTGGGCCTGGTAACACATGCCTGTAATCCCAGCGCGGGGTGGGGGGCTGAGAACGCTGCCAGACTATTACCATTCCCACTTCTGGTCACCACACCCACCTCCCATATCTCTATCCTGTGTGGGGTGGGCCTCATGGTCATGCTCAGCTATAGTGTGTATTAGTTGTTCAGTATGAACTTTCCCCTGCTTCACTATTTTTCATCTTTTACTGTACTTATATGAATTACATTGTAAAAATTGTAATCTTTTTACAATGTGAAAAGATTAATTTGCACTGATTGTATCTTCTTTCTTTCAAGACAAATTCTTTTGTTGTTTGTTTTTGTTTTTGTTTTTTAAGGTGAGGTCTTGCTATGTAGTTCAGGCTGGCCTTGAACTCACTGGGTAGCCATGCTGGCCTCAGATTCACTGTGATCATCCTGCTTCAGCTTCCCAAATGCTGGGATTACAGGTGTACACCACCACATGTGACTCATGAGATAAATTCTCGACCTTTCCTCTTTGCCTTGTCCATTTGAGCTTTGCGGCGTGACATTTTTGTGAATGTTTTAAATATGTAACCCTTAATTCTTTCCCCTAATAGGGAATACCTTGCCCTCAATGTCTACGTGGCCCTCTGTTACTACAAGCTCGATTACTATGATGTGTCTCAAGAAGTTCTGGCTGTTTATCTCCAGCAAATTCCTGACAGTACCATTGCGCTTAACCTGAAGGCCTGTAATCATTTTCGCCTTTATAATGGCAAAGCAGCTGAGGTAATGATGTAAACATGTCTCTAACTGACCTAATTCAATATGAAGTCCTTTATACTTTCCAAGTTATTTATTAAGTTCCATTATCTGTAACTCTCACGTAGCATCCCTTGATCATTGGCACTGTGATTCTATAAGAATCTAACTGCATTAATATTTTTATCAGAGATTCTAGAAATAATTTGACTTCTTAATTTTCTGTGTTGTATCTTATAGAATGTAGATGATTTTTATGCCAAAGGTTGCAATGTGTTTGAATTTTTGCATGAAATTCATGTATGTTACCTGGAAAAATATAAGAAACAAGACTTTTTTTTTTTTTTTTTTTTTTTTTGTGGAACTGGGGATTGAACTCAGATCCTTGCGTTTGCCAGTCAGGCGCTTATCCTACTGAGCCATCTCCCCGGCCCTTAGAAAAGGCTTTTTGACAAAGTCCAACACACATTCAAGTTCAAAGTCCTATAGAAAATTGGAATAGATGGCCTCTACTTCAATATGATAAAAGCCATTTATGACAACCCAATGGCTAATATAATTCTAAATGGTAAGCTTTGACATCTTTTTCTGTCAGATCTAGTACAAGACAAGGATGTCCCCTATCTCCTCTCCTATTCAGCATAGTTCTGGAGTCACTAGCTAGAGCCATCAGACAAGAGCGAAAAATAAAAGGAACAAGAATAGGTAATGAAGAAGTTAAATTATCCTTATTTGCAGATGATATGATATTTTACTTGGAAGACCCAAAAAAACTCCACCAAGAAGCTACCAAAATTGACACAG